GATACAAACACACCTATGTACGAGCCCATGCAAGACAGTCGTACCTACATATATGGTTTATAGGCAAATTACTTTTATATTTCATTGCCTTTCATTGAATAAAAAAACTACCTTAATGAGATTTCTTATTTATGCATATTTTTAATTTATTATTTGAACTTACTTCTACTGGCTTTTGCAATAATTAGCATATTTTGTTTTTACTTTAATGTTAATGTTAAGTAGAAACGTTTGTATTTAATGTTTTATTTAATTTTGACGATTTAAAAAAAAAAACAAACAAATAGTTTTGTTTATATATTTGCATAGGGAAAAATAATTCTTAATACTAAATGTATTGGTTGATAATTGTTGGTAGCTTTTTATACAATACAAATGTTTTTATAATTCATATTTAAATTTATTTTCTCAAAAATTACAATAGCGGCTTTCCAATGATTGCCAAAAAGTGCACAGTTGGCACAATTGAATTTTGCGAGGGAAAATAGTAAATGACAAAAATAGTCATAACCAAGCAATAAAAGCATTTATAAATCAACCAATTAACAATGATTGGTCTTCATTCAAATTGGAAATCGAAAATTTGGGAGGCCACCGGGGACCTGCGGCAGCCACAGTGCAACGCCATCCGAATTAACTACAACATACAATAGACATATACAGATTAAAAACATTGTCCAACCCGCCTAATTCTCAATATGACGGTTATTCGAGGAGCCAAGCTATCAGACTGGGGTCTTTAGCACAAGAAGCAGGAATTCTGCAACCGCTCAGCAACAAAGGAAACATAATTAACACTCTACCCGCCAAACATGTAGATCTTCATATTTGATAACGCAACGCTTGACTGCCAAAAACGAAGATCTCCATGTTTCAGGTTTTTATACGGAATCCGATAGATAGGGTAATTACGGACATTTTGAACACTTTATTCAGTCTGGACCGTAAGTAATTTACTATTTGCTTGTTTACATTAGCGTAGAGCGGTATTGAATCACTTTCACAAAATCGCAATTACCTCAGCTTTATTGTGCGAAATTGCATAAATCTCCAAAAGTGAGTCATTTTCATTTTACTGTTACCATTGTAAAGCTAAAATGTTTGTAGTTCTTGTAGTATTCACTACATGTCAATCTGATCACATATGCACTCTCAACGAGCTTCAGAAAAGTGTTAAAATTTGCTAAAAATCTGGCGGTTGCTGATATTATTTTTTCAAACCCCAGGCGGTCAGAGTGCTAATAAAAAATGAAGATAAATTAAACATGATACTTACTGATTAAACTGGTCTTTAGTAACAAGTGCATGTTTTTTCCTTTTGATTCTTTCCTGACTGGTATGGATGAAAGTCGGGCTCATCATTGACCTAGCTTGACTAGGCTCTTTGCCTTTTAAATAGAGGGTGTCCTTCTTCTGAAAAGCTTTCCTCAGCACTTGTTTGACATCGTCACTTATTTTATCATGTTGACGTTTGAGCTAAAATTACACACATAAACGGGATTTAAAAAATAAAATTGTCAATTAAGGGCCCGCGAAAATAAAGGGCTTTACAGTAGCCTATCATCTTCTACAATGCCCTTGTGTCAACCACAATTAATTTATATCTACCACTACCAACCTTATCAAGACGATCTCTGAAAACGCAATATATTCTAATTGTGTTTTCGGTATTCTGCAGTAAGATCATGACTGACTGAAACTCAAAAAAGGCTCTCCTGGAAGAAAAAAAGTGTATAACCTAGTATTGCAGTGACAACTTCAAATGAAAACAGTCCCAAAAAGACTATCAACTCTCAATAAGATTATCGTACAGGCTTCAGAATGCTACAGTACGGATCACGGGCAGTGCATTTTGTAGAACGTAAATCCGTGGGTAACTTCCTCCTTGATTTGAGTTCTTCAGTATACAGACTGCAAGCACAATGGGCACTATGGTGGTCATGGGCTAACTCTCAGAGGAGAAGAAAGTTACTGTACCAGCTAGTCCACAGTGCTTTGAGACTCTGATATAAATCAAACTACATCATATTACATGTATCATTTCGTCAATACAGTAGCGATGTATGTAATTTGCTGGACACCGCTACTGTAATAATAATGAATTAGCCAGTAACTCGCTTCTGTGGTCTCTATTACACGAAAAGAAAAGTGTTAGTCGCCCATACTGTAAATACGTTGACGTTGATGACCTACCAGCTGCGACATATTCTGATGGATGGTGTGCCAGAGTCTTTGCAGTCAAAGCAAGCTCGACCAGATAATGATAATAATGTATGGTTAAACCAGAGCACAGGCACCATAGTCCGTATCACCCCTAAAAACAATATGCCATATCTTATGGTAATGGCTTTCCCCGTGTGGGCAGATAACCATGGTTTCCATACAATCACTACACTGTTGCTACAGGGTTTTCAGTGCAATCGTTTTACTGCATATTAAACACATTTGGGAAGGCTCTTCCTTTTGACCAACCAATCAGCATCACCAAAAGCTGTCAGCGAAAGCGTGTAGCAGTTGTATGGAAATAGCCATTCAGTGAAAATATTATAAGAGAATTCTCTTACGTGTACCAGCTGCCAAGCCTGTTGTGTTGCTCTCTCCACTTTAATTCACAATGTTCGTTGAGTAAGCTCATTCCCTGTGTGCACTGCATACTCAATTTTTGTCTGAGGTACACAAGAAGACAAAGTTTAAACACAAGATCAACATGAGCATTATGGTACCAAGTTTGTATTCTAACCTATTAGCACAAGATTAACTTCTAAGGATCAAGTTTGGAGCATACAGTATTAGTGGTTAGGAATTGGTTTCCTGGGTGGATTTAAAGGTGGGGGAGGGGGAGGGAATGGGCTGCTAAACAAATTGTAGCTCTATCTGAATTTTTTAATATTGTTTGTATGACTGTGAAATGGTAGCCTAGTAAGCTGCCTTAAATTAAATCTAGACATCTGAAATATTAGTTTATCAGCTACACCCGTATCATGAAGACACCATACTTCCATGGTGGTTATAGATAGGCTACACCCTTGGATTTCCCAACCTTAAATTTTCATTTTGATAATATACATGTGCATAGTGGCTTGGCAATATAACCAGTTCAATATTATTAGCTTTGGTTTGATTCATTGACCATCGCTTTTCAAATATTATTTTATGTCAATGTCAAAGAAAATATGATTTATACAACTTATTTGGAATACCAAATTTTCTAGCATTTTGTACTATTTAGGATGGTTCTTGTAAGGAAAATCTAGCAGAAAAAATATTAAAATACAATTATTAGAATAAAAATTACATATGAAATTTTAAATATTTTTAAAGATTTAAAACATTAATAAGATAAAATAGTAAAATTTAAATTTTACTAGATGGTCATACAGATATTATAAATAGTGTAACATAAAAAAAACGCCACCGACATCATTCTTTGACTACCACCATAATCATGTCCCCATTATTTCTTTATATAAAAAAATATACAAAAATGTATAGTAACATTCAAGAACAGTATTAAAAAAACTAAGAAACATCATCATAAAATAATTAAGTGGGAAAAATATATACTTGTCCATTTTGTGTATTTGTTCCTCATTGTAAGCGAGACGCTTGGCACGTTTATCATCCCGAAATTGATCCGAAATTGTTTTTGTGCCTTTGACCAGCACTTCAAATCTATTATAACTGATCAAAACAAAATAACAAAATATACTTTATTGTTCAATTTTATTTAATATTATATATTAATTTGTTTGGACCACTTTACTGCTAACACGCCGTGATTTTTGACATTCACCCTATCTCTTAACCATTAGCGCTTCTTCAAAAACATTGACTGCTTTTACTACAAAAAACGTAACTTAAAACTAAAGGTCGAATAAATCAAGTTGAAATGGTTTATAGAAGGTAATAAATATAGCTATTGCAAACAATTAAAAAAAAATATATATTTTTTTCAAATATTTGGCCTCATCATTTTGGGTTGAATTACGAAAATATAGGCAATATTCCTTACGTCATAACTTTGCCTACACTACTCCGATCACTTAGGTTGAAGTGGCAACAGAAAGCAAATTAATGTGATTGGATACAAATTTCTTCCCTCATTTTAAAAATTCTATCAAAGGTTTCCAAGAAGAAAACCTGCCTGGGCTCATAGCAGGCCCAGGAAATTGGCGTGCTCCATTTTTTAAACTGAAGAAAATATGATAGCTGCTGTATCAAAGACTTTAAAATTCATTAAATTAATATGCTTGATAGTAGACATATCTTTTTTCTACAGTGTTATATATCAATTGGGAATGTATTTTTAATAGTGTTTCACTATTGATTGTTTAAAAAATTGCATTTTTATATATCGTTATAGGATAATAAAATTGCCTAGACATTGGCACTGTGCAGCATCTGTTCATTTTTGTCTTTCTCACATGCATGCTTTATTAAAAATGTTTTGTTATTGATATGTTTACTATTGCACTTTGATCAACAAATTTTATTAGTATTCAATAATATGAAGATTTTACACTTTCATGTTACATTTTAAACACACTCTACAAACACAGGCTTTAAGCCAATCACACATATGTATAGCATACAGGAGTCCCTTTAATTAAAGACCCCTCAAATTAAAGACTACCTCCAATTTCAAATGGTCCAAAATTAACAAATGACTTTTATCTTTATTATTCTAATTAAAGACCAAAGCTGCTAGAAACCCCGATCCCAAAAGTGGTCTTTAATTGGAGGGAGACCTGTATTTCCTTTCCAACATCCATGGATAGATAATGACAGGCTCAACTGCATTATATACAATTATTATTTTTTTAAATAATTCCAATTTTTGCATTACATACAATTATTATTTAAAAAAAAATTATTATTAATATGCAAGAATGCCACAATCATAAACCTCACTTACCAATGTTCATGTGGCTGGCACTTCTGCTGGTCATCATATGAAACTTCCAAGACATTATCCTGGATGATTTTTCTGAAGAGTTTATGAAACTCGTCAAAGAGTGGATGCACTGAATTTACCAATATCTAAAATAAAGAATGAGTGTGTTGCTTGTTAAATTACAAATCACTACAAGGCAAGGAAGAGTGGAATAAGAGAAACTCCTCAAATTTACATTAATTTGTTCTGCTCTAGATGTTGATTTTTTAAATTTTCCAAAGCAAATTTTCTGCGATAAATATCTGTGATTTGCCCATATTGATTGCATATCGGAAACACTTTGCCAAATCACAGGTATTTGTCTCATGAAACATGATAGTGTGGAGATACTGGACTTCAACATGATATAAAATCAACACAGTTATTAAAAAAAAGATTATTATTCCACAAACATATTTACAAATGCTTTTTGGATCCCTTTAAAGGAATTTGGACACTTGTCGAAGACTTTGGACCTCTCATCAGGAAATTTCTGGCACTGCCACTGAACTCATAAAAAAACTTTATTGTACAGCTATACCTTAACCAGTGGCGCAATGCCTGCGATCTCGTGCAGTGGTTCACAGGGTCCCCAAACCGAGTACCTAACCATAGGAGAAGCATAATGTGTCTCTGACATTGACTATAGGACATATATTATATCCTCCAACGACGGATTAAGGAGGAAGGGGGGGGGGGGCAGAGTGTCAGAAAATTAAATTAACAATTTAAGTGAGTGCCATTTCCAGCCATCTAAAGGTGCCATTATCATTATCTCACATCAGGTACATCCCTGGGACTGAGGTGGTATAGACCCTCTATCTGTGGAAGTCCCTCCCTGGGCAACCCTTTTACAAATTTCTGGATCCACCACTAATATAATATCATTTATTTTGTCATTAAAAACATTTAGAATGCAATGTCAAATATGATTAAAAAAGAAGCACATTTAAAATCCCACAATGGAATTGAAGACTGGGACCTAAAAAGGGCCCGAGTCTCAGCATTACACCACTGACCTTCCCGTTAAACTCTTTCCTAAATTCAACTCTTACCTTAACAACCCAAAACATCTTAAGTACTTCCTGATATCTTCTTACTACCAGTCTTGGTTATGAGAAAGAATCAGAAAGTGTGCACTTGCCTCTTTACCAAATACAGTTTTACTGTGTAACACCAGTGGCGAATTCAAAAGGGGGGGGGGGGGTCTGAGAGTGCCATTTCCGGACATCTAGTGGTGTCAATCATAAATTTCCTTACCTCAGACCCAACCATGGTGGGACTGAGGTGGTCTAGACTTCATATCCGTGAAACTCCTGGTCTGGGCCCCCTCTATTTTGAATTCCTGGAGCTGACACTGAACACCAAGATAACCACCTAACAACCCCCAATACAACACTAGTTTTTTTACCTCTTGATTGTATTCTTGCTGCATTAGCATCAGCTGCTCCTTCAGTAAGGCGGCTCTCATCTCCAACTCTTCATTGATTTCATCTTTCAAATGATCAGGAATAATTTGTAGGAGATCAATATCCAAATTTGACATCAACCACTTACAATTTTCTTCAATATATACTTTGTGGGTCTTCAGTGTCTCAAGGTTGACCTGGCTCTCTTTGATTTTATTTTGCAAGATCCCACTGTTAAAAGTAAATCAGACACCACAATATTATTGAACATCATTGCTTAATTTACAATTTATATAATACCTGTACTCCAAATATAGAGGGGCTTGTCTAGTCTATGTGTCTGATGTTTTGTTTAGGCTTTCTTTAATCAGGGTAGAACCATTCAGTGACTAGCACTTCTTTCCGAAGAAGGCCTGGTACAAAAATATACAATTCAAAAGAAATTAAAAAGTAAATTAAAAACAATAATACAAGTTACTTCATCTCAGGATGTATAGAATATTATTATGTCATGGGATATTATTCTAAAACATTGTAGGCCCAAGCACTTGGAACAAAGTACTGTGGGCCTATTTTATCCATACACAAGGACCATTATGTTTAGTCCTAAAAGCCTACAGCTCACACAGCAACAGGGTTCATGCACCATGGTTCTCAGTAAAATGTCCACAACTTTTCAATGAATTTTCCATACCTATCTAAATTTCCAAAACCATATAACACAATTGTTGTTTTGTATAATGCAATAAAAGTTTGAATATATAGTTTTGTTATTATAAGCTGACGATTTCTGAACAACCCAACTTTCCAAGCACAATAATATAACCATTCAGGGATGTAGTTTCGGGCCACCCAGTCTAAAGCTAATTTCAAGGCTCGCACCCACCTGCATTAACTGCCTTGCACATCTTTTTTTCACCAATGTTATCACCACCACCCTTAAAATGTCTACCACCCAGGGATGGTCTCTTATACACATCT